CTCCTCTCATTCCCTCTCCTCTCCTCTCCTCTCCTCTCCTCTCATTCCCTCTCCTCTCCTCTCATTCCCTCTCCTCTCCTCTCATTCCCTCTCCTCTCCTCTCATTCCCTCTCCTCTCCTCCCCTTGCCTAATTTCATCGCAGGCTACTTGAAAGACGGACTTTTCTTCTACTCAAAGCTGGTCAGTCTGCTTGCATGCCTGCGGTCAACTTAAGACGAACGCGCAGGCCCCGTACGCTCGCGGTCTTTCTCCCTTCGCGCTGGTGTGGAAGGACAAAGCGTGCTCGCCCCTCTACGAGGACGTGAAGCAGGGTGATCTCTTCTCCTCTCCCTCCTCCCCTTTCTGATGCTCAGCAGGAACCGATGCTGCCAACGCAAGCAACAAGGTCTGCCAAGGAGGATGAGAACAGAGGGGGTGTAGAGGAGGGCAGGGTGGGGGGGCGGAAGGATTGGAGAGGAGGGAGGAAGAGGAAGAGGAAGAAGGAAGAGGGGGAGGAGGAGGAGGGTGATGATGATGCAATGGCAGATGTCTACGACGCTCTTCATGGGTCGGGTCAGGAGCTTGGCTTCTCCTCCTCTCTTGCTCTCACCCGTGACGGCAGGAGGGCTCGATCCTCACCTGCGACTCTCCTCCTCTTGTCGTCAGCCACCAGCTCACCGACAGCTGGACAGGTAGCAGGGAACCGCTTGCCTGCTCCTCCTTATTCTCCTCTGCAGACAAGAACGTGAGCGGGCTGTTCCGCTTCGAGTACGACGAGCTGGACGAAGAGAAGGTGTCGCATCTCCTGCCTTGCGCTTCTGCTATGCATACAGTCCTACTCTCCTGCTCCTGCTCCTGCGGTTTCCACCTTCCCCTCTCCCCCCCCCCCCCCCCTCCTCCTCCTCCTCCTCCTCCTCCTCGTGCGGTTTCCTCCTTCTCTCCCTCCTCTCCTCCTCTTCCTCCGCTCATGTTGTTGCAGGGACGAGTGGTGGGGCTGAAATGCGTGCGGGCGGTCAAGGTGATGAATGTGCGAGGAGGAGGGGGAGAGTGAGGGAGGAGGCAGAGCGGGATGGCAGACAGCTGGACGAAGCTTGTCTTCATGCAACGAGCGAGGAGAGACGGTGAGAGGAGGGAGAGGGAGAGAGGAAGCATTGGTATGACGTTGATGCAGAGCAGCCTTCGGTCTACGACATCCTTGCGGGGATAGGGGAGAATGCGATGGAGGAGGAGGAGAGGGAAGGGGGGTGAAGTGGCGGTATGTCTATACAAGAGTTCATAAAAAAGAGAGCAAGGCTTATCGCTGGATCTGCCGGAGGTACTTGAGGCAGAGGAAGGTGATGACTCGGTAGCCTATGGCGAAGATGGCGGTCACCCACAGGAAGAGGTTCACGTCGTTGACGTTGCTGTGGGTCGTCAGGCTCCAGTAGTCCCACACCGTCATCCTCGGGTACGCCTGCCCGGGAAAGTTGCTTTCCACAAAGTCGATGCCCTGCGCGCCTGCGGTTGCGTTGGTCTTGTCGAAGAGCAGGCTGCAGCCGGGGCCCGACGCGTGGTAAGGAGCGTCGGCAAGCGACTTGATCGCGGGATTGGTGCAGTCGATGCGCATCAAGTTGTCGCTGATCTGCCGCTCAGGGATACAGCTGAGGCTGCAGTAGAACTGCTTGGGCATGGCGGAGATGAGGCCGTAGCGAGCAGGGAAGACGTAGTAGAAGATCTTCCAGGGGTAGGGGATCATGTAGCCTGGGATGAAGAAGCCGCAGAAGAGAACCATGAGGCCGATGGTTGGGCTGGCGATGAGCGACGCTGCCTGCGTGGTGGAGGCCATGGCCGAGATCATCTGACCCCAGAAGCAGAAGACCATGGCGAACAGAAACATGGCGATGCCGTACATGACCACGTAGTCCGTCGCAGCCCACAGGCCGGCCAGAGGGTAGAAGACGAGGAGATGGAGTCCGACGACGATGACAAGCCAAGGAATCTCGGCAACTGTGGCTCCGAAGAGGTAGGAGAAGGGAGCGTACATGCCAGCAGCGAGCTCTTTGTAGTAGACGAGCTTCGAGTTGCCGATGACTCCCACGGACATTGAGTTCTGCACAGCGCAAGTGAAGAAAACGCCAGCAAAGATTACTCCGTTGAAGGACTGCAGCGTCGCCTGGTCGCTGACAGATTGCAAAGACACGTGGGTGACGTTGAGGGCGAAGAGGAGAGCGACGATAAGAACGACGATGAGACGATTGTAGTTGTATCCCACGTTCCTGTAGTACATGGAGAACCATCGATCACAAGAGTAGTAGAGCTGAGTGACGAGGGTGGTGGCGTAGCGAGCACTGAACGCGATCTTCTCGCCCTCCCCGATCTTGGAAATTTCGGACAAAATCTCCGAAGCCATGGTCGAGTTGCGGAACTGCTCCACAAAGTCCACGTCCACGCTTCTGCTCGCCGTGTCGATCCCAGCTCCGATGACGTCAAGCATGTACTCGGCCGGATTTGTTCCTTCCTCATACCTCGGCACTGATGGCGAGAGGGTCTGGAAGTAGTCGATCATGTTGCGGGCGGAGCTAGTGGGGAGCATGGTCACTGGGTCCGTGCCCTGAGGGCCCAGGTCTCCATTGTACACGGTCCAGCCGCCTTTCTTGAGGAGGAGGAGGTTGTCGAACATGGCGAAGATCTCCGGAGAGGGCTGATGGACAGTGCAGACTACAGTACGACCGGCAGCAGCGATGCGACGGATGACGGACATGACGACCTTGGCTGAGCGAGCGTCCAAGCCTGAGGTCGGCTCGTCGAGGAAGATGATGCTAGGGTTTGCCGCCATCTCGACCCCGATAGTGACTCGCTTCCTCTGCTCCGTCGACAGGCCCGTCGACGAGTCGCCGATCATCTTGTCCACCACCGGACGGAGTTCCACCAGGTCGACCACGGCCTGCACCACCTGCTCCCTTTCAGCTGCCGTCAGCTCAGGCGGCAAGCGATGGTTGGCAGAGAACCGCAGGGCCTCGATCACCTGTCAGGAGCTATCAGCCGAGGAGAGTCAGGTCAAACGAGACTCACCGTCATGGTGGCGATGTGAATGTCCATCTGCTCCACGTACCCAGAGATGCGAGCGAACGTGCTGAGGTCTTGGGGATGCCCGTTGACGAGAACCTCACCAGTGATCTTACCAGCCGTCTTTCGTCCAGCAATCACATCCATGAGCGTCGTCTTTCCGGCCCCCGAGGCCCCCATGAGGGCAGTGATCCTCCCCGGCAGGAACAGAGCGTCCACGTTGTTGATCAGCACCTTGTCAAGAGTCTTGACACCCGATCCTTTCGGCGCCTTGATCGTGACCGTGTACGTCAAGTCCCTGACCGCCAACGAGACCTTGGGAGGCTGGCAAGACAAGCTCTCAAGGGTCGTGAAGGCCTGCTGGCTGATGAAGGCTGCCGCTGACTGCTCCATCTCGTCCAACATCTCCGGGTCCAACTTAGCATGCCCGATCGGAGAGATCTTTTGGGCTTTGTTCTTCTTGACGATAGTGGGTCTTTGAAACCCGTACCTCAGACGATCCAGTGACCAGATGTACAGCCAATGACCTATCACGATGAGGAAGACGATGTACAGAAATCCATACCCGATCCAGTAGTCTTCCGTCTGAATCGCAAAGGCCTCGAGCATCAGATCGCCTCTCCTGACTCCACCATCGCCAAGCTGGTCGTAGTACCCATTCTTTCCCGACGCCTTGAACTCGTTCAATGCCACGATGCGGATGATCCAGGGAGTTGGGACGATCCAGTAGATCCAGATGAAGAAGGGAGGAATCGTCGAGCGCGTCACGATGAATCCGGAGAAGCACATGGCTAAGGCTGCGAACCCGATGGCCATTCCATGCGACCCTGAGGTAGTCTTGGCCACAGCAGCAAACGCCTTGTACACCGCTCCGAAGGCAAGGTAGATGCATATCAAGGATACTGCAAAGACAGGCCATGTTGAAGCCTGCAAACCGACGAAAAAGAAAACAATCAAACTGACAATAAGAACTTCTACAAGTTGCATAGGAAAATCAGCAATAGCCTCAGATAGGACGTAGACCCAAGTCGGGAAGAAGCCTGAATCGCGATGTTTGTAGAAGATAGGCCTCTTGGCTTCAGTCACATCGATGATGTACATGTTGCTCATGGAAAGAATAGAAACCAGCAGGAAGAAGAGGGGTACTTTCAAGTTGTACCTTGTCGTGGGCAACTGCCAGAAAATCGTGCCGATGATTACAGATTGAATAGTACGTTGGATCACCAACGCCTTGAGAATGCCAAGGTTCTTCAGCTTCACTGCAATCGCTCGTCGAAGGCACGCAATCATCAGAGTTCCCATAGAGGCTCCAAACGGTCTAGTCCAAGGCAGTTTGTTGATAGGGTTCTCATGAACATCTTTTGCCAGCGTGGCAGCGGCGGCGAATCTTGGGTGAATGTAAGTGTGATGTATTTCAGAGCGCTTCCATCTCTCAGCCATCTCCATGCAAGTTGGAGGCTTCACCCCAGGGTTCTTCCAAAACTCCAAGGAATCTCCGGTGGACACGTACACCAGAAAGTCCGCAAGTGACATGCTATCTGGACAGCAGAAGCCCAGCTCCCTGCAGAAGTACTCCTTCGCCTTGCTGAGAGGTCCATGGTAAAGCAACGTGCCATGTGCGCCGAGAACCATGATTTCATCAAACATCTCCAAGACATCAGGAGGAGGCTGCAACAATGATATAATAGTAGTGTTGTTCATCACCTGGCAAGCATTTCGAAGCGTACGGATTATGTCAATGGCTGCAGCTGAATCTAATCCAGTTGTTATTTCATCCATGCAGTGTACCATGTTGTTTCCGACAAGTTGTTCAGCGATTGTCAATCTCCTCCTTTCGCCACCAGACAATCCACGCAGAACTCCACTCCCTGCAACAGTATCCTTGACGTGCGAAAGGCCAAAGTAGTGCAGGAGCATGTCTACTTTGTTCCTGGGGTTGACGTCCTGGCCTTTTGCCTCTGCAAGGTTCATACCATTACGTTCCGCGACCTCGCGCATCAGAGTGCTTGAGACACAGTCAAACGCGAAGTCCATGGTTTCCTTGACAGTCAGGACAGGGGTGTGGTCGTCGTATTGAGGAGTGTAAGCTGCAATTCTTGGCATGATCTTCTTATTAGGGTGTACACCGTTGAAACAGATGTTCCCGCTCTGTTCCAGACCGCTCTCAAGACGGCTCGCAATCAACTTCAAGAGAGTGGACTTCCCGGACTGAGGCGCGCCGATGAGGAGGCAGAGCTTTCCGGGAGCGAATGCCGTGGTGACATCAGAGAGAATATCGTTCTTGCACACCGGCTTCGATTGCAGAGTGAGAGACTTGATCAGGCCGAGTATCGATGTCCCCACAGTAGGGAAGTCGACGCTGGAGACGTCAACTCGTCCTCTGATTGAAAGGTCCTGGAGGGTGACATAGCAAGGCCCGTGCTTTGTTCCGTACAACTTTGAAGCTCCTTTCATAATGTCGACCTGAGATAGCCGCTCCTGGAGCCCTGGTCGGAACAATTCATCCACAGGGAAGTCACCATGCCCACTTTCAACAAGAATTTTCAAAGAAGACTCATTCACAGGATCCGTATTGTCTGAATCGGACTGCGTGCGCTAGTGAGAAAAGAAAGAAATGCAACTGCAAAATCTTACCGATGTTTTGGGTGGAGAAACATCCTCCATAAGTATTACGTGGGATCGGGACCTTGCGTCCGAGTAGGTGAACTCGCTTGTGACAAGTTGCGCATCCGGTCTCTCTGGATGCATGTTGGACATGTTGGCAGGTGTTTCTCAGGGTCACAGAGAAAGAGGGAAGGAAGAGGAAGGGAGGATGAACGTAGGAAGGCGATGGGATGAAGCGAGAGGATGGAGCAGGAGAGGGCAGAGGAGGAGGCGATGGAGCACGGTGGGGGGAGCAAGCAGCTTTTTATTTTGTCAGGGACAAGACAGACGGGACGAATTTCTGGGGGATCTGACTGGCCTAACTGGGGAGGGGGTGGGGTTCCTATCTGACCGGTAAAATGACCGGTACAACCTAGCATTAATGGGGGAGGTGGGGTGCTTGATAAGATGAGTGCTGGGAAGCAAGAAGGAGGTGGGGTAGGTGTCACGGGTTGCATGAAAGCAACACTGTAAAGCAGGCGGAGGCAAAACAAAGTGGTGGGGTACTTGCAGGGAGATGAAGGGGTCCACGGGTGGTGATTGGGGCTGAAGGGGGTTCCATGAGCAACTCACGATTGCATTTTTGAAGGTCGTGGGTAGGGTAGGGTCAGCACAGGGCCTGGGGGTGCAGGGGTCTCACCACTACCTGGAGGGGGGGGGGGGCGGGTAGGGTAAGAAGATCATAACCACCGGCGCTCCGGTGCACTACCACCCCCCCGTTTCTCCTATTGAAGTGAGGGCCATTGCCATGGGCTAGCAGAGGTACCAGGGGTTCTAGAAGTCTTTAGAGTGCATGACCCTGTCACGTTACCCAATTTCTAGAAATACCTGCTGACCCCACCCCCTGTCATCATACTCATCAGGGGGGTTCACGACCAGTTGCGATGTAAATGACCCCGCGGACCTCCGGTTGCCCTCCCTCCAGCCCTTTCACGTCCCCCCTCACCCTGGTCACATCCCCCTGCGCAAAAAGACAATGGGGTCACGTGGGCTCTAGCGTCCCCCATACAACTAATGACACGTCCCTGTCACGTCTTCATCACGTCCCCTTGGTCAGTTGAGCACCAGACCGTGGCAGGAACAAACCTGATCCTCGTCCGCCGGAAGCTCAGCAGCATTCCGGGGCCCGCCGGGATGAGTCCGAGGGCCCGTCACTGATTAGTATCCTTGTATTATGTAGGCGGGTTTGACTCAGTGAACTGGGGACCCCCGCAGTACTTGGCAAAGTTAAGTTAAAAATCGCTGAGTACGACGATATAATCAGGAGAGTACGGCTACGGTAGAGGAGGCTTCAAGGATTGCACTGATTTTTGACTCAGTTAACTTTGAGTAAAAGGCTTGTAGTAGCGTGCGGCTCGGCTCGGACTGTCACCGATGCTGAAGATCGGACGCCATCAAGCGATTCTTATCATCATACTAGTATTCAAGCCTGAGTCTCGACTGAGTTCAACATTCAAGGCTTCAAGCCACTCGGATCGGATGAGAGTCTCATCCGCGCCCTGTAACCGTCCGAGTTACTGCTAGGCTAGGCATTGCTAGGTTTGCGGCTTGGCCGCTCAAGTTCAAATCAGTCACTGGCACGCCGCTTCGGCCGCTGGCACTGCGGCATCTTAAAGGAGGGTACCCGTCCCACTTGGAACTGCGGGACTCCGGGATGATGACTCGAAACTTCACTGTGACGGCGTCATGAACCGGGGGATCGGACCCGGCCCGGGGCCTCAGGTCCTTCCAAAGTTCGAAAACACTGAAAATTTCTTGCCTATATCTTTCATTCATAGCAGCACCCGGCCGGAAAAGCCTGGCAACTTGCCGCTGTGCTTTTCTTTGATCGAAGATACACTGCAAGGTACCCCGTGACTCGTTCACGGTTACTGAGGAGGAGAGCCGCCTGGGATGACCGTTAACGGTACGGTTCGGTATAAGGCTAGTACTGTGCCACGGTGATCGGACAGATCTGTGGCCAGCCCGGGCAACGCCAAGCCTATGAGGCTCGGACTCATCCGAACGTACGGTAATACCTGCGTAATACGAGCTGCCGAGCCCGCCTGAGTCCCCAGCCGAAACGACCGTCGACCGAACCTACTCTAGGATGCGGCTGGTGAGGGCTGGTAGCAGCTTTGATATCAAGAGAGCGAGGGAGATACCGAAGTGATCGCATGATGAAGAGCAAGACCTGGGAAGTATCCCTCCCCTCGTCCCCTCCTCCTCTCATCCCTGAAGTCGAGACACATTCTGAATGGGGCCTTGAGCTTTCATGACATTGGAGAGCGGTAGGGGTGCTTCTTCAGACTTGTTCAATTTTGAAGGTTTGCTTCAACTACCTGCTGAAGGAAATGGCCTCGATCGATACAAGACTTCGGGACATTTGCATCTTCGATCCTATCAGAATCAGAGTAGAAGAATTCACATGTTGCGATGCAATCAGTTCCTCAGAACTCCAAGGAATAGAGCACGAGCAGTATGGGATCTCGCAACCGAAGCTGTTTCATCTGTCTCTACGAGGTATGAAGCTACAAGAAATTCAGTCGATTCGATCGATGTTTCAGAGTTTTGATGAAGACAACAGTGGATCGCTCACCCCAGATGAAGTTCAGAGCGCCCTTAGTCGATATGGCCTTTCGATTTCGCCGCAGGAGTTTGAAGCGGTGATGGAAGCCTTCGACACAGACAAGAGCGGGAGCCTGGGGTTTGAGGAGGTAGTTGAGCTCTTCTTGTTTCTGAAAGCAAGCTCAAGCTCACAGGTGAGTCACAGGAGCAGCTTCGATGCTTGTTACATGGCCGATGCTGCTGCTGTACCCGACGAGGTTCCCTTGGTCCTTGAGATCCCAAGATCCTCCTTTGATCCTCAATGGGTGGAGGAGACAAGAGAAGCGACGCTGCAGCTGAATCTTGAGTTTGAAAGATTCGCATTCATCAAGATAGACCAAAACAGAATCACTCTTCCTGTCAAGATTGTCCAAGACTCTTGGATTGAGAAATCTTATCGATACGATTCTAAAGTCTCCACGGATCAAAGCATTACCTTCCATTTCCAGGAGAGATACAATATCTCGTCGAACATTAGAAAAATCAAATGCGTCAAGTTTCCAGGAGATGTCAAGCAAGGGCCTGACCTGGAGGGCGTCCAAGGCTTTCCTGTCTTGTCTTCTGCTCGCAGTTTCCTTCAGGTTGGCTTTCAGGCTGCTGCCTCCTCTGTCAATCTCTCGCACTTGGCAGGGTTCTCTGATGCTCCGGCCTACCTGTCAACCTTGGAAGCGTCTGCTGGGACGACAACACAAGAGCTGGGAAAGATTGTAGCACGTGCATGCCTGTTGCCCTCCTGGTACCCCTTCACGTTCTCATACAGAGTGAAGGGAGCGAGTGCAGTGAAGGCTTCCTACAAACCTCTTGAAAGTCATCTCGGAGAGATCGACGAGGCAGAGGGAGTGATCGACGTGAAGGTGGTCGTAGACATGCAGCGGTTGCCGCAGGCGATCACAAGCCATTTCACCACAAGACATCCATGGCTGCAGGGAATGAGCTCGTTGAAACCCGCGTTTCTCAACAACGACATCGTGCCAGTTCACATCGGGAGACTGGGAAGGTCAGAAGCGAAGGTTGGTTTGCGAATCATTCCAAGAACGATGAGGACCCTTTCAAGCAGCGCCAGGTGGTTGGCCTGTCCCTCGCACGTCAATGTACTGCACTTGATCATGCCTGTGAGTTCATGCATGTTCTTGGTCGACTACCACGAGAGCGTCTCTCTGCGAGCCTTCAGGCGAAGCCTCAAGGAGTCTCCGCTGTCCCCCTCCCAACAGTCCGACTGCATCCTTGTGCTCGCTTGGCAGCTCGCGGCTGGGCTGGAGCACGTGCATGATCATGCCATGATGCACCTGGACGTGAAGCCCGACAACGTGCTGCTGGCAATCAGCGACCGAGTCTCTGAGTCGCTCCTGGACTTCACCGCTAAGCTTTGCGACTTCAGCTCCTCCATGTGCCTCTCTGACGACGATGCGACGAAACGCGGAACCCCAGGGTTCTGGTCGCCCGAGCAAGTTCACAACCCTCTGAGTGCTTCCTCGGGAGGCCAGGCCTGCTTCTGGAAAGAAGACGATTGCGTCGACCCTCCACTTCCATCCGATCATGCCCCCTCGCAGCTCAGCGATAGCTGGGGATGGGCTACGACTGTTCTTTACGCCATGGGAGTCCTTGAAGACATGAAGAAGCTTGGGTACTCCGCGTTCCAACGAAAGTTGTACGCCCAAGGATATGACGTGGACTTGTCGCTCTCGCTGCTCGCTGACGCCCACCAGGATGTGGTTCAGAGACGAAGCAGACAAGCTGCGGAGGAGGCAAACCAGCGGCAGGTGCAGGCAGAGCTGTCGTTGCTGGAGGATGAATGTGCGAGGGCAAGCGATTCAGCAAAGTTGATGTGGCAAGAAGCGACAGAAAGCTTGAAGCGACTCGATAAGAAAAACCTGAAACAAGCCAGCATGTCAGAAGAGAATCCTCGTATCGCGTCACTGAAGCACACCTTGAGAATCATCCTGCAAGAAGCAGGCAAGACAAACCAACAACCGCACATGTCGATCTTCACCGAAGAAGTTCTACGAGAGCTCATTGCTCATAATCCTGCAGACAGCTTGCACTTGTCTGATAGTCTGAAGCGAAGCCTCGACAAGTTGAACGCTGCTGCTAACGACACGGACCCCCAGCCCTCCCCTGCCATCCTCACCTACAGCCGCTGGATCGCAACCTTGGTGGATGTGCACAGGCTGTCACACAGATCGAAGGAGATGGAAGCAAGCATGGCTGAGCTGGAAGGGCGGAGGGATGACTTGTCGGCGAAGATGCGAATAGAAGAAGCCTCCATCGCATCCCTCGAAGAAGCCTTGAGCAGCGAGCAAGTGACGGTAAGAGAACACACCAGTCAGCTCATGCAGGTCATTCTTACTGGGGATAAGAGTGAAACCGTCGCTTACCTCCAACAGCTGCTGAGACGAGACTTTCACTTGCCGGAGGAGGCATACTCGCGGCTGAGACGAGATCTCCTGTATTGCACGGGGGAGCATGCTGTGGTAATGCGCGGAGCCCTGTCAAACTTTAACTCGCAGCAGCATGAAGACTCTCTACGAGCTCGCGACCTATCAGGATCCGCTCCCGACGACCAGCGTCCCTTCGATGACTTGAGCAGCTTCTCGAGGGACTTTCCCTTCCTGCAAGGCGAGCCGGTGCCAAGCGAGGTCAGAAGCCTGGAGAGGCAGGTGGAAGCAGCCTTCACACGATTTGCCTCCTCCCCTGACCTCGCCTCTAAGCTTGCCGCCTTGCAACGTGACACCTTGAATGTGGGGGAGCGGGTTAAGCATGCGGTAGGAGACATCCTCAAGCTGCTCCTGCTGTGGTGTCTGCAGTACATGCCCGCTCATCGTCCTCCTGTGCGCACTGTCAGGTTTCTGCTGTCTCAAGTCCTCTCCTTCAAGCGCCTCCGCCCGTCGTTCAGCCCCCTCTCCACCCTTAGCAGTCAGACTCTCACCATGGAGATCCTTCGGCAGGCGCCCAGCAACGACGAGACGGAGGGTCTTCTCAGGTTGGCGCTGCAGAGGACCGCAGCCGATCACGCTCAGCGGTCAGACCACGTGCGGAGCCTGCAGACGCTGCAGGAGCTGGTGGCGAGGCATGAGGCACGCGAGGAGAGCGAGGAGAAGAACGTGGAGCTGACTGGGGCTCTCCTCAGCATGAGCACCCTCCTCTCCTCCCTCCCTGACTTGCTCGCCTCCAGCGTTTGTCTTGACCTCGCCATTGAAATCTTTGACCGCCTCTACGCCAACGCGACGAGAGTCAAGTCGCAGGGAGGAAGCAGGAGGATGGAACGCCTCAAGTTCGACGTGCTGCTGGCCAAGACCTCGTCCTGCTTGACTCGCTCAGGTCAGGAGAAGCTCGACGAGCGAGTTCAAGCGGCTCTTCAGCACCTCTCCGATGAGCTACACGCCCTTCCCTTGAACCCCCTTGACGGCGCCCAGATGCTCGCGCAGGCCCTGGCCGTGGCAGCCGAACTCAAGGAGGCTGAGGGGAGGTACGAGGCAGCTCTGCGACTGAACAAGCTGAGCTTGCAAGCCTCGCTGGTTGCCTCAGGTCAGTACGGCTACTTGCTGGACCCTTGTGCTGCCATGCTAGCTCATCGCATCGCATCGCTTCACACGACTCTCGGCGACTTTGCCGAGGCGGATGCTTACCTGTACCGAGCCCTGAGCTCTCAGGTGCTGCAAGACTCAGCCGCGAGCAGGAGAAGTCTAGTGCAGACGCTCCTCCTCGCCGCGAGCAGCCACAAGCTGCGCCATGACTTGAAGCTTGCTCATACGTTCCTCCAGCTGGGGCTGTCTGAGGCCTCGCAGCAGCTGGACGGCATGAGGGAGCGGCTTGGGGGGATGCAGGGACCTGAGATGTGGAGCTGCGAGCGAAGATCCTCCACGAGCTGGGAGAGTTTGACAAGTCGCTGTCAGACTGGAACAAAGCCTTCACAGTCTGCAGGCACCTCCTCGCCTTCAAGAGCCCCGTCACAGGAGCTTGGGAGGATCACAGCCCAGGCTTCTGCGCCAGGTGTCTGGTGGGCATGGGAGACAGCCTGCTGGGCATGCGAGCTGGGTGGAAAGCGGTGGAGAAGTATCAGATGGCACGGGAGTTGATGAGCAGTGAGGCAGCCGAGGGGCTGACGGACCTGCGGGCCAGCATTTGCGAGCGGTTGGGAGAAGCTCACGTGGGGCTGGGCAACATCGGGATCGCTCTCGAGTGGTTCTCCGATGCCTCCAGCACTCGTCGACGCTGCAGGGCAAGTCTCATCCTGCCCGACTGCCCTGCCTTGTGTGGTTGGCCCGTCTGCACGGGGAGAGTCTGACCAAGTACAAGGAGGAAGCTCAGTTTATCCTCCGAGGGTGGAGCTCCTGCGGCGGGCTCGGCTCTCTGGCGGCCCTGGGGTTCCTGCTGGAGTACACCTCGAGGATCTTTGAAGAGGTCCAGCAAGAGATCAGCCTCCTCGTCCTCTCCCACCACAAGCTCCTCGACCTCTCCGCTGCCGCCAAGTCGCGAGCAGAGGAGGCGAAGCGGCAGGTGGAGGAGAAGTTAGTCAAGCTCAAGAGCGTGCGGAGGCTTCCGGCGGTTGAGGCGCAAGTGCTCGCGGAGGCGACGAGGTCCTACCAGGAGGGCTGCAGGGAGGAGGCGGACTGCAGCAATGAGGTGAGGAGATTGAAGCACAAGCTCATGCTGTCTCGGGCGACACTTTCAAAGAAGGAAGACGAGGTTGAGAGAGTAATTGAGCTCTACCAACATGCTGTGAAGACGATGAGACTGCGAGCCCCGAAAGCGATCATGATGGTCAGAAAAGGAGAGGAGAAGTCGGAGAAGATGAGGGAGCAGCTTCGAAAGCTTCAAGAAAGCTTTACCTAGAACAGACTATTGCCTTGGAGGCTGTGATTGTAAAGATAAGTAGAAACCCACTACAGGTGTACATAAACTTCATTTGTTTCCTTTTGCATTCTCAAGCTCCAACTCCTGATCACACATTATGCTGTCATTCACATGATATCATGGCCCAAGGTCGCTTACCTTGTACGCTTGTTGCACATGTTTGTCTAGATCAGACACATTCCTAGCCTTTGCTTCCCTCGCATGTTGAATTCGGCGTTTCTTGGATTCCATGTCTTTGAGCACGTTCTTTCTTAGAATGGTCTTTCCTACTTTGACGACTGACATGCTTCTAGTCTGCATGCATGCGATGTTGGACTTGATAAAAGCTAATGAATTGGAAATGTTCATCTTTCCTGCAGACATATTAGGGCAGAAACCTTGGAAACAACTGATAGCACAAACACTTAATCGCCACCCTAAACTTCACTTGCTCCGGGTTCCTGCTAATCATTTCCTTTGCCTCTGTCTTTTCTCGGCCTCCCACTCCAACACCCGCCTCTCAGTCATCTTCACATGACTCTCTTCGATCTACTGCTACCTTTCCCTCTCGCCTTCTCTGCATTTGACCTGTTTTGTCGCTCCAATCTGGTCTCTTGTCCCTCACTCGAATTGCTTGCTCATTTCTTCACCCTACCCGTCCAATCCCTTCCTCGTTTTCGCAACTCTTCTCCACTCCCCCTTCCGCCGCATCTCTCTCTTCTCCTCTCGCTCCTCTCGCTCCCTCGCTCCCTCCTTGAATCCCTCCCTCTCCCTCCCCCTTCACTCTCCTCTCCCGCCCTCACTTGCTCTTTGGT